TCAATTACGTTTGCTCTTGAAGGTACCATATCGATGAATTGCCTGTCATTTTCTATATTTTTAATTAAATCTTCAGTTATTCTTAGGGTTCCATGGGGTAAAAACGGGATCCTATTACTAAGACTCCGCTGTCTGTCTGTCTGTCACCAGGCTGTGTCTCATTAACCATGATAGCTAGACAATTGATTTTTTTACAGATGGTGTACAGATATAACTAAACTAACTAAAAATAAAATAAATATTTTAATTGCCGTTTTTTGGTCTATATTAATAATGGCAACAGGTAGACGCTTGAAATATTCAGAGAATATTTAGTTGTAAATTTACTTTAAAAAGAAATTATTAAATTTAAGTAAAACAAATATTTAAAGGAGCTTGCATGCAACAGATGTGATTTTTTGGCATTCATGTGAAAATGTTTAAATATATAATAAAGTGTTCAATGTTGTATAGATAATGGGCACGGAACCCTTCGTGCGCGAATCTGATTCGCACTTGGTCTGTTTTGAAATTCTGCACACCTGCTACCGTATATCAGTGGAAAGCGAAATCAATTCATACATCGATTTGAAGGTAAAATAGAAAAATCTATTGTTTGTTGTAATGGAACCGATCTTCTGTTGATTATTTGTTGTGGTGACATTTGGTAAGTAATTGCCTCTAGTAGCAGTAGTCCGGTAGCCTGAACTACTGAAACTTTTTAGTTGCGATAATTCGGTTGCACAGGTCACCCGGATCAATGAGCCTCACCTTAATAATAATAATAAACAATAATCGATCGACCGATCGACTGAAATGGTAAGACTTTTTGGTTAAACTTCAAGTTTACTCAAATAAAAAAAAAACAATTTTATTGTTTTCATACATTGAATAAATAATAATTACAGTATTTACGTTGGGGCTAGACTAATCGGTGTGAGTGTTGGAAATATTTATTATTTATTTATTTTCGTCAACGCCGAACTAATTACACAAAGTGAGACTCAATAATCCGGGTGACGTGTACACCGAACTATCGGAACTGAAAAGTTTTAGTAGGTCGGTCTCCGCTTTGTTCTCGGACAACTGCTACTAGGGGAGTAAATGCTGGAGTTTTGAATATGTTATTTCAGAGTCGTTTTGTCCCATTTATTCCTAAACTAAACAGAGCAGAATTACTGATACTAAATAATAACATATAAATTTAGAATCAACCGATTCAAAAACAATAGCACCAACGATACAAAATTAATATAATAAACTCGTTATTTTTATGAATAGACTCTATTTCAGCTGGGAAAGACCTACAGAGTTCTGTTAAATCTATTTACAAATACAGCTTACTTTTATTGTAGGAAATAAAAACAGACCTTAATCAATTACTACAAATTTAACAGAACGAAGTTTAACAGATTTGATTTGAACCGCATTTCAGTCATCCGAAATTACAAAAAAACCTTATGATACAAATTGTAAGTTCACCAGTAAAGTCTAAACATCACGTGGATTCTGTAACATGACACATCATCTCATTTCATTTCATTTATTCGTTTTTTTTACAATTTACTAACATGGTTAATACTGGCTAATTCAACAGTTATTACCACATTTTTACGTGTAATGACATAAACAAAACTAATTTACCCAATGTCTAGTGTCTACCTCATATCCTTCACACTGGCTTATTTCTGTGTAAAACGGAAAAAGCCCCAGACAAAAAAATATTAAGTAAAATGTTTGCCATGTAGCAACACGGCCGACATGTTGCTCTATGCTTTTTGCTATTAACCTCGTGAGAATTTATTTTTCAGAATCGCCCTACAGACCACCAGTGAAGTTCTAAATCAAAAACAAAAACTTCTAAAATAATATACGTGTAAAATCTACGCTGTATTGGTGCAGGAATATACGCGGCGAGCAGTGATTGTGGCAAATTGCTCGGCTCCGTGCAATAATTCTTCGATAGCCCACCATCAGTGGCGCGACAGTGTAAACACGGTTGTAATCAAACCGCCATTGATGAAGTGGTTCGTTCGACCACACATCGAGATGCAATTAACTGATTACCATGAATGTCTTTATTTAATCAAGAAAGTTATCCTATTTTCTGTGTATAGTTACTTTCTTAAATGTCGTTCTACCGATATGAACGAGTACACCTGCCAAAAATATGGAAATTAATTATTAGAGATGGACCGACTAGCCTCCGACTAGTAGGGAAAGACGACTATTCGGCATCGTTGATAGTCGGCGATTAGTCGGCGACTATTCGACAAAACATGCCGATTATAATCGGCACATAACAATAACTTAAAACTCAAAAATTATGCTAGTTTTGAATATTTAAACAGTACCTAGAGTATGTTTTTAAAATTACCCACAGTAAAATATTTAAAAAAAATAAGGTAACATAATAAGAATTAGGAACTTAAGAATCTGTCAGTAATTCAGTTATCACAATGAATATCGCACATAATAAAATGGCAATAAGTATGAGTATGAGAAGTAAGTACGTATTAATTGAGTAACATCTTAAGTGCTAACGAGTCTTAAAGAAGTTCATAGCTAATTTCTTTTTTCCTTAGAGACAAATTGTTGGAACATGAATATTTGGGCTCGATTTGGGAGACACGTGTCGTGCGTGAGCAAGCCGAGCAGTGACGAAATATTCCGAACACCTTCCTAAGATAGGTATTAGAATTATCGGCATTGCAGAATAGTCGACCGATTAGTCGGCAATTCGAAAACCGAGTAGTCGGCTAGTCGGTTAGTTGGCAAAAACTATAGTCGGCCCATCTCTATTAATTATCAATGTAAAGTAGAACCACAGGCAGAACGTAGATCTTCATATTGTACAAACAATAAACTAACATTTAACTATCTACATATTATTATAATGCACAAAATGGCCAAAGGATATATAGCGCGCTATGTTAAATATTGTGAGTTTTTCTGAGATCCAGAGGAGCGCTAATTTCACCAATGTAGGAAGTATCATATATAGTGAAACACGAAAACAGTGTAATAGGAACTTCCTGTTGTCATAAGAAAATGACGATGAATATCTGGGTTCCCTCTATTTGGTAGAATCTTCTTACTCCGAAATTCATTTGCCATAAAATTTTATTACGATTTACGATTTTTTTGTGAATATAGTCATTGCTTGGCCCAATATTATATGTCCTTATATATATGTCCCAATTCACAATGGCACTATCCCAGAATTTCATTAGCACGGCACCTGATATTATAGATGAATAAAACAATGAAAAGTTAAATATTCTACTCGAGTCGAGTCGATTATTATTCCACACAAACAGTGAGAAAATGGATTTGGTCTTGTATTGTCTGTTAGCAAACAACCCTTTTTTCTGCATTTTAGCTATTTTATTTTGGTTACTACAAATTTAGTGAAACACGAAAACAGTGTACATTTTCAATTGTTTTTAGAGTTGTTTTACCATACCACATCTATGTAATATTAATATCGGTAAGAAGAAGGAATATTTATTAATATTCTCGCTTTTCTATTTTTGGTATTTTACTCTGTATTTTATTTATTCTCGTTATGAATTCCACAGCGAAACACGTGCAGGCGCATTCCTTACATGCGTTAAGCGACAGAATTAGCATCGCGGTATGAACAAAGATTAATTGCACTTCACTGAATGATAACGATATATTCCTGCGTCCACATGAGTAAAGAAGGCGCAGAGCCAAAGCTCATACATACTGTTGCGCATATGTGAGTGAGGGCGTACTGCTGTCGCTTATGCAGAGAAACGTATCTATATGTATTAACAGCAACAGCCAACCAGTGCTCATACACACACGCGCAATTGTATAAATCTTTGCCTTTGTACCTGCTTCCTGTGTTATTCTTGTGACCAACGGTATTAAATATCGTTGCCTGTGACACTCCATAATATAATAGCTAAAGCAGAAGCAAATTAGCCACTTTCAGAATTCTAGTCTAGATGTGGAGGAGTAGCTCGTAACATCGAGTATATTAATGGAACAAGACCCCCGAGCTATGGGAGCAAGCACCATATGCAATTTTGATTTAGGGCCCACTTAGAATCAGCTCTGCCACCTCATAATTGCAACCATTAGGTACCCGTGAATCGTGATGCTATGCAAAAATATATGCTTTTGACTTGGTTTGATTGATATCCACAATTTTCACACGTCAATACTAATTAGTTAAAGCTTTTAGTCAGAAAATTGCTAAAATTATCTTTTCTCTTACTCATACTCAAAATCGAAGGTTGACAACGAATGCCCTTTAGCTTTCGCTGTCTTATCTTATATCAACCTGTTAATAAAATCATCCTATTATATTAATTTCTTATGTTTTTACCGCACACCAATCACTGAATAAAACACTGTTTCAACGGGTTTAAGATGCGTTTTAATTGAGGAGCTCGATGGCGCCAGTGGTTAGCGCGTTCGGCTGCGATCGTTGAAGTTAAGCAACTTTCGCAGTGGTCGATCATTGGATTGGTGACCAAAAATTTACTATATAGCTCCTCTGTGCTTCGGAAGGCACGTTAAGCCGTTGGTCCCGGCTACATCTGCAGTCGTTAGCACCATCATCATCATGGTCATGGCCCAATCTCCCTAATCCTAGGGAAGGCCTGTACCCCAACAGTGGGGACATTAATAGGCTGATGATGATGATGCGTTTTAAATACTTTTATATATATCTCTACTGTCTCTAGAACACAGGCCTCGTTATCAAGAGACTTTCAAGAGACCCGTTAAAACAGTGTTTTATTTGGATTGAATATGAAGAACGAGCTACGACCACGGCTCACCGGGTCCATTGCAGTGCTAACGTATGCAGATGCAATCAATTTTTCTCCTTTAGGCAATGATCACAGCAGGTTTATGGTTTATAGCAAGAGTGAAAGGAGAAGGTAATATGAGTGAAGAAGTTGTTCAGAATTTTGGTATTAAATCATTAAAAGAAATAAGTTTTTTTGTTTATTTTATTATTATTTTGTATTAATGGCATAGGTATTTGTTTTAGGTACATCATCTTAAATGAAATCTTATTATTAAAATCTTAAATAGTATCACGAAACTGGTTTCCAGCAAGCATATACCTAAATAAGGCTATTTTATTGAAGTTAAACACTACCACGTGACAACATAAAGTATGTAGTAAAATGATTACGAAACTAGCCATTCTCTTATTATACTCATAAATTAAAAGATATATCTTTATGGAAGAACTAAAATACATTCAGACTTAAACAATACGGTTGGTTTCCTTTAATTATTGCTTTATAACGGTAACTTGTGAAGGAAGACAAATTTTAGCTACTGGTTTGAAGGTAACGTACATTTTATAATGTTTGACAATATTTCATACATTGCTCTTATCCCAAGTAAAATAAGTCACATTTTGTTTTATGAAAATCAGAAACAGGAACGGGTGATTCACAATCACCTTATTATATTAAAACATATCAGCAGTGCTTTCTGTAAGGGCAAACTTTACCGCAGAAGTCGCCGGTGTGATTTGAAATTTATATAAAATTCGTGTTCTAATTTTAAATTTTGAACCAATCTTACGATTCTAAGTCATACGATTTTATTACATTCTGAGAATAAATCGATTGATTTGATACAAAGAGAAATAAAATTGTTTGTCAGAAATACATTATGCACTCTATAGGTAATGGAAGATCCATTACCTTGAAGGATTGTATTGTGTTGGCTTCAAAGCTGGGGCTCATGATTTTATTCTATAACTAATAATTAAATTAAATAATTCATTGTATAGTAAATAAATCTGGAAGACTGTAGGATTTTGCTGTAAGGCACAATGAATTCATTCAATGCGTTTATCCTGGTTTATAAATTAAGATATATTAAAATACCTATCAACACGATTATAATTATTTGTTATACTGGCCATTAACAATTTATCTTATTTACAAATATCAGTGTAAATTAATGGCGATGGAAATAACAAAATACATGGCACTAAGTCCTAATGTAACAACTAAACTATTTTACTCATTATAGGACGTGTCCTTATATTCGTATATACATTCATGAAATACTGCCTCAGATGTCATCCCAAAATTTACATAATTAACCTAAAATTGTATTAAGTACTTAAACAAACCATATCAATCGAAATAATGATGGCGTCTTTGTATAATTTAAATGATAAATCAACTTTATATCGCTTATCTAAACACATTCAGATCAACTCTGTTGCACGAGCTCTTCAATTTATTAGAAAGTGCCGTTCTCATTTATAAACACCACAGCTGTTTATATAAAAATGGTTTATTGTCACTATTCTTGTATAATTCTACACTAGGGAAATAACATAATAACTTAAATCGCGCTTTAGTCAATGTGCAACAAAATTGATGTCATTACAAATATCACACAAAATTAATATACTGACCAATTAAGGTAGGTACCGTGAAGGTATATCGACAATCGAAAGCCAAAGTTGCTTAAACGCCACTTAGGCTGAAAATGAGTTATAAAATAAAGAAGTACATATTCAGTATCATTGTAATAAGCTTTTTTTCTGCGTCGATTCTTTTGACTTTTGACTTTTCCTGAAAGATTTAAACACCTTAAAGGCGCTTAAGCGACTAAAATTTTGTAATAAATTTGGTTGTTCCACTGTCGTATGTTGTTTATAATTATCTATCATTATATTGTTGTATGTAAATATTATGTTATAACATATACATTCACACATAGGAACTTCGAAACTCTGTCAAACAAAAGCTTTTAATTTACACACGCAACTCATAAACAAAACTTAGTTCTAAATTTATATCACAGACTGCAATCTAGGGAATGGAGTGCAAAGCCAACTTCAAAGCAGATGGTGTGATTCGTATATTTAATCTAGTCTGCTCTGTTTGAGAGTATGTCACCAAGGTCTCCAGGGTTTTTCTTCGGGCGGTTGTCTTCTAGTAACGAGCGCAAGGGGAACAGGCTCGTCTACTGAGGGAGGAGGACTACTCCAACCGGAGCTTGCAGGGGAGAAACATCTCGGTTCTGAGGACGAAGACGATGATCCGTCTCTCGGAGAGAGCGGGACCAAGGTGGGCACTGAGCCTAAAGTGCTAGCACTCACTCCAGAAGGCAAAACTAACGCAATATCCCCGTTAGAAAGCCTCGTTGGTACTAAGCGCACTCCAGATCCTGGACCGGCTGCAACAAAAATCACTGTTAAGTCAAATACGCTTGCTTTACAATGGAATACTCTTCCAATAAATCCATCAATGATTACCTGAATCGTTAAATAATGATCTATGCTAGATAAATGAAGAATGCTTACAAAAATTGGCTGAACTCGGAATTCATGGATTTCCAGAATGTTCAATGCAGGTGTAGAATGAAGTCCGCCTATTATCTCCTTTATTGTTGTCAATAAATTCAAATTCAAAAAATATCGTAAAATGTTAAGTACCTGATATAAAAATTGTTGAGTGTTGTGAAAAATTCGCATCCTCTGTATCAGATGGTGGAGTAGGAGCTCCCGCTGGTCTTGCGTTGGGGTTAGAAACACAGCCTTCGAGGTGTCGTACGAGGCGTCTCCTAAGGCTAGTGTCCAATTCCTGGAACTTGGCTACTTCGGACAAACAATGCTGGTAGCCCGCGTGGAACCGATCAGGAGAACCATTGCTCTCGGAACGTAGACCTTCCAAATGTTTCACCGTCATCTCCAGTATGTCTGCTTTCTCCAACTTCGAATGTCGTGCTGGCTGCAATAAATATATAAATTAATTAAAAACCTGTCATTTCGTCTGAATAGGAGTATCGGGTTTTCCTACAAATTTTCATCTCCTACCTTTTTAGTACCTAGATGTTAAATAAAACTAGTTTTTTACGGGTTAATGCACGAAACTTTATTTATTTATTGACGTTTCCTAGTCCTAGTCCTAGACCTAGATGTTTTTTTTTTTATTTTTATTTGAGGGCAAAAAGTCTCCTCCAGTAGGAGGATTAATAAATCAAAATCGATTCAAACATGAAAGCGAAACAGAACTACTAAGAAAAAGTAAACATTACAGCGCCAACCGTCAGGGACATACAATTATATATATAAAAAAATACGGTGTCTAATCTTCAAGATCTGACTGTATCGTAAAAATAAAACGACTCACATCCTTAATACATAGTACGTACTCATTTAATGCAGCGGTTAAACCTTAAAAACTTTTTTTTATAAGTGCTTTGACGTCGTTAACTGAATTTACGGCGTTATATTGTAACTTACGTCTTTTTTCATGGCGTCAAGGATCAGCGCCTTGAGTTCGTTCAGGCAGTTATTGATACGAGCCCGCCGCCGTTTCTCCATAATTGGCTTGTTGCTCTGTAACAAATGAAGCTCCTATTATCTACAAAATCTAACCAAACAAATTACAATAACAACCGTCGCATAATAAGAAGTCGCTGAAAATTATGCAATACTATACTTACGAAGGCATCGAAAGGGCGGTAAAGGGTATTTTTATGGTAATGCATTGCTTGCCCTATAAAGTGCTTTAAGTATAGCCCGTATCAATAAACCTTATTTGAGTTGGCTGGACTCTTCGGTAATAATTTACATTGAGTTATGTTTACTGCCAAATTATTTATTGCTGTCGAAAGTATGCCGTGAAATATATATGGAGACTATAATGTAAACTTGAAATAATGACGTATATATATTTACTTTACACAAAATGGTGAATGAACCAGGGCAATTATTAAAATCAAAAGAGTTAATCTTAAGGAAGCGTGGAAGCAACAGAGTCCTTGAGTGTCCTTGTTAGGAATACTTGCATTAGCTTATTTTCCTTCATTATTTAAATTTTGCAAGGCAGCAGGCCGGCTAGGTGAGGATGGTTGGTGTAGCAGTTTATAACTGCTGTGCCAGCTATCTTCGCGTTTGGACTTTATCCCCACTTAACATCAGGTGGGGTAGTGTCATTTGCCTACCTTGCCATAAAAATAAACAAAAAAAATCTTTCTATATAACCATGAAATTTGGAATCATTTTGGACATTGGTAATATTTTTATTTATTTACGCAAGCAGTTCAAGCAAAAGACTTTGCTATTACTTATTTTAATTTCAGCGCAAACATAAAAAAGTCATTTTTATCGTATTCCTTTTAGTTTTAATGTGATCAAAGTTAATTATCAAGAGCGGTTTTATCATTTATCAGAACGTAAGTACATTAAACGGGCGGGCGTCAAACAAGCAAGAAAGACGCGTGACAAAAAGGGACATTAATCTCGCGTTACGCGCGGCGTGTCGCCGGTCGCCCCGCTCAAGGTGAAGGTCGCGTCGTGATTGGAGCGGGCGTCACGCGCACGACACCACGTGACATTCACTAGGGCTGACACCACACAACTGATCGCAATAGATAATGCAATGCATGTAACTTCGCGTGCCAAAATAGAGAACAAAGCTCTTCCTCTAACGCTAATTTATTTCTACGCGTCACCGTTTTCGATACGAGCCGTCATTCGCAATTTTTTCAATCGTCACGATCAATAGGATATCATCTGTCTATGCCATATTGAACAGAAAAAAATGGAGGCCGAGACTCATACTTTTCCAACACTGAATTTATTGTCGTGAGTAAAGTAAATGTTGGAAAAATACTCAAAATGTGACGCGTTAGGTTTTCATTTAATTGAAACATATGCTAGAAACATAGTCTAAAAATACTTATTTTCTGAATATATTAGATAAACTAAAGATGTGATGGATGAAGGGCAGTGTAAAAATTAGCGGACCCAACAGACGTTGCCTGCCCAATAAAATTATTTAAAATATCTCAATACCAATCTACAACTCCACCTATTAAGTAGATTCGTAAAAGATTTCTAAAATTTTCCAATTTTCTTAGCAACTTTCATTTTTTTTCCATAAGAAACTTCTCATCTAGAAGTATTAGAAAACTTAACAAAATTGGAATAAAAGGGTAAAGTCGTTCCCAAGTTATGAAGTTAGTAGTAGTAGTTTGGGAAATAGAGATCCAGATTTATATACACAGAGATAAGATCTTTTGGTCTTTTACTCACTTCGATTCGTTCTTCATTTTCGATATTCAGCAAAGCTTTGGATACAGCCCTAATTGCGTAGCGAACATCGAGCGTTGATTTTTTAACATCGCAATCACTACGCGTCGCTCTATGCCGCCATTTCAAATTAACAAACAAACACTACTGATGCGAATGGATCTCCACAGATAAGATTTCAAAGGTCGAATTAAAACAATTGTCCCGCCGTAGTTTTGCAAACCGATGGCGTAGCTTCTTGACCTTCACAAGTGCTTGTAACAGTATGCAGCTAACAACGCACACCCTTATCACATCAAATAAGTGCTTTTAGTGATATTATATGTGTTTAGTTTTAGTACAACGCATTGAAGAAATATTTTTATTGTAGCTACACATTCATTAGTTTTCTTGGCAGACAAAGCCGCGGGAAAATACGCAGCATACTTAGATTAAAACAAAAATAGAAAACAAAATCTGAGGCAGCATAAAGTAAATGGAACAGACTAAAGACAATAAGCGCCGGTTTTAATGAATAAACATAATATATGTTTTCTGTTTTAACCAGAACAGCTAAATTAAGAAACATGTTTAAGTAAATAGTAAAATAACCCCTTCTAAAAGATGAGACCAGTGCTGTCATATCTAACAACTTCTTGGTAGATCTACCAATTTTCACTTCAGTCTACCTATCTACCACCCTAGACCTAAAAACTGCCTATTTTTTAAATTAGTTTGACATATCACCACTTTGAATTATTTTTATATCGACGAGCGACGTTGCCATGTATTGCGTGAGCCATGCAACGATGCGTCAAGCATACATAGAGTCCAGGCCATAAACCACAAAAAAAACGTCAGCAACAGTTCGCCATGAGTTCGGCGTTCGCACAATTTCGCGCCCATATTTTACTATTCCTACTGTGGCCTATTCCCGGTTGGTTTGTTGCGGAATCAATGTTGAATCTTTGGTCCTGTTTTATTGTAAAAACTAATTAACTGCGTATTAACGGTGCTAATTGCTGTTTGTTCTATGTTGCGTGCATTTATTTATTAATTGGATTCTGACAGCAGTGAAAGCGATGCACATAGTTCTAGGTTAGGAACTCCGCCACGAAAACCTAGAACAAGGCACTATGACCAAAAATATTCGACATAATGGGAGAAAGACAAGGAATTTCCCGTCTTATTATGATAAGTAGGTATTAAATGTTACCTTAAACATGAATACGTATGTTACAAGGTTTTTTTTGCAAAAGTACCTACTGTTTATAATTTTTCGCGTCTAAACTGAGTTCATATTTTTTTATCGAACATTGAATAGTTTTTTGCGTTCACATCGATTACTAATTGCAATGAGTATAATAGATTGCAAAGGTATTATTGAAATCGCAGTATACTAAATCGTATCTGAACATTATTACTAGGTACCAAATTTTACTTTGCAGAATTACCTTAACATTTATTGAAGTAATAAACAATACCTACATCAGAAATAATACTTTATATTTTCATGTTTAAGGTCGACTTTTTTAGTTGATATAGTCAAAATGCACAAACCGTGTCTGCCATAAAAAAGACTCACTTGCACCTAATTTTTTTAATAAAATTTTAAAGCTTATGATTTTTAAACCTTATTTTTTCACTTAAAGGAATAATAATGATGAAATGATGTGATAAACAGGTCTTAATTTGATTATTTTAGTGGACCTAAATAGGTTGAATAATATATTGGGCTAGACTTATTAGTTTTAAAAGTAACTAGACCAGCCTAGTGCAGTGTGGCAGCATTAACGTGAGGCTTACGTAACGTAGACGAGTCATGCGAGGCGTATTTATCGCGAGGCGCCGCACCACGACACGTGCCGAGCCGGTCGCCAACGTAACACGAAACTACAATTAAACCTATTCTTACACCGAAACTTTACTGTTTGATAACGCTTCCGTGCACGGATCAGTCAGGTGGCTCAGACAGACTTAACTACGGTGTTGATACGAGGCTGACGTAAACGAACAACTAGAAACATTTATACATATAAATGCTACTTATAATATCGATCTGGATCAATCTATCTCATTTGAAATTATAGTCACCCGGAAAGCGAAAGCTCCTTTCTGAAGTAGACCTAGAAACAAATAAACATCGACATGTGGACTCTATCGCAAATTCTTTGACGCATGACATATATAGTTAAGTGTTTGATGTTGTTATATGCTATTTTAGTTGACTTCATGCCGGCACTTCACATGACTATTCGTATTTGCTATTTTACAGCAGGTGGTCCTTATTATACTTCATTTATAGGGAGTGAAAAGGAGATACCTTTGTCAACTTCACAAGTAGCACGTACGTATAGCCATGTCAAATCTAGCCATCGTTTTTGACATAATATTCCATATAAGAGTTTGCTCTATCATAATTACGACAGCCGTGCTTTCTCTTTCAATCCCTTAAAAAGGATAGGACATTGGTCGGCTCCCTAAAGTGGTCTAGGCACGGACCCCAGATGAGGTGGCCTATGCCGAATGGCCCCGTCTGGGGATTGCCTAGTACCCTAGCGCAATCCCCCAGAGGCATGTCCCCCGGGCCGGCCCGGGGGCGTCCCGGTGAAATGGCGCACACAGAGGTGCGCCGATCCCGAGACGCTTCCACATGGGCGTAGGAGGGTACCGGTGAGTTTTAGTGGGTAGGACCGGCGCTGTATTCCGCGCCGGGTGAGTCCCACACACGCCGTGCGCCTCGCCAGCGCACGGTACAAAGGACAATGGTCGGCTAATGGTCTCGAGCTTGTAATATACGACTTCATGTGCCGGAGAATAGTCGGGTAAGGCATGCGCTCTTTCGTTGACGGCTATTTTCCGCAGTCTGGCGCGCGACCAGCGGCCCTAACATACATCACTATTTTTATAGATGCCCGTCTGTGTGCCGTGTCGTGTGACATACAAACATATATCGACACACGACAACCCAGACAGGCGGCTGTCGCGCCCGTTACGCAAAACAGTTCATTCATATTTCATTCATATACCTATGCTCTATTGTTTGTTATGCTCCGTCATTTGGTTTGAGTAATTGACCCTCATATAGTCTAGGCAAGAATCTTGTAATTAGGAAAAATTTAGTTATTTGTAACGTTTATACTGCATTAGTAGTCATAGTCGTAATAGTTGGTCTTAGCATTTTCTTATTTTTTTTAACCACAATATAAAATCCCGCCAAGTTCCCCAGGGTTTTGTTAAATTCTGAAGTCCACACGGATAAAGTCGCAGGCAAAGTCAAAGTGTAAGTTCATAATTATTAATTCATGAGAGTAGAATCTCCT